TGATACCCTGAATTATATTTGTTTTTTGATGCATTTTTATTTTTTTTGATCCCTTGCCCTCCACGGACCCTCAAAACCCTATGTGTGTTTGATCACGCCCGGATTCTTAGGGAAGTATGGTTCATCCATGGAACAATTCAGGACAACGCCGGGGTTGTGGCCGAAACAATGTGAGTAGAGGAGCCAAGGCTTCAGATGATGCTCCGCTGCTCCGTTTTGGTCTTCGATGCTCCGTTGCATCGCCCGAACCCTCCACGTTATGATGGCCGAGGACACGCCCGAACCCTCCACAACGGGTTCCGTGTGGATTCGCGCGTGTGTTTCGACGATCAGGCGAAAGCGAAGAAATCGTCGGTTTTTCAATTCGATCGCCCGAAGAACCCGCCCGAAGCCGCAAACTGGTTGACCGAAGGTTTGGACCCCGGGTCGCGGGGGTCCCTTTCTGATTCTTTGGTCGGCCCAGATGCCCGGGGCAACTGGGCGGTGTCACACGTCGCACGGCTGCGGAAGCCTTGAAACGAGGCCCTCTGAAAAGAGCAGTTAGTCAGTGGGTCAGTGGGTCGCCCCTCAATGCTGTCACGTTCGAGAGTGACTATATCTCACACCTCACACTATCTCTATGGAAAAAAAATACTTGACACATCGTAAAACACACCACGAGCAGTGAGCAGTGTTTGTTGGAGAAGACCATGCACATGATGCTGCAGAAGCTCGTCGACGCCATAGTTTGGTTTTCAGACTCAGACACGACTCATGGGACTCGTAGCCTACATTGAGCCCTTTTTCTCAACCAATGTCTTAGAGGATCCAACTAGTAGCTTCTTGTTACTACTAGTAAGGCACTTGTTACTAGAATCGATGCACTTGTTACTAGTAGCGATGCACTTGTTACTACTAGTATTCAATATGCCTGTCCCATATGCCGGTCTGCTCGGTCTGCACATGTCGTGTTGTGGCCCTCCGCGGCTCGCGCGCCGCAATCGACCCCTGGCGGCGACGCGGTGGGTCGTGACCGCAGCGTCGCAGGTCGCCCTTTGGTTGAAACAGGAAGGGCTTAGGTTTCCTTTCAAACTCACCCCAAGTAACTTCCATAAAATCTGGGATGGCTGCACAACCCAGAATACTTGCCATACATCCTACCATATCTCACAAATTCTATCAAGTTCTCATTGACTTGTGCAGACATGTTCAATTAGTGGTCCTTCTCGAGTGTTTTGAGCCATTGGAGTCATGCGGAGCGTGGACAAGCTGCGGAGCGGGAATAAGCGCTGAAACCTGCTGAGACCACAAAAGCAGGGCCTCGTGGCCTGGCCATGCAGTATATGATGTCCATAGTGATGCACTGCGTGACGTTCGTGTTGATGTTCGCCACTTCGTCTGCGGCGCCTGCTGTGCCCTCCAATCTGCTGTTGGTGGGTGGCTTTCATAAATGTGGCTCGTCGCATCTGCACAGAGTGCTGGCCTCGCATCCGAAGGTCTTTGCCTTGAGGAAGGAAATTAAGCCACTTTCGAACGATGTGACTGCTGAGAAGCTCTTCGAGCAGGTCTTTGGGATTGTTTGAGAGGTTTTTGTTTCAACATGTTGATAGAAGATGAAGAGGAGACTCGAGTCGCAAGCTAGTGAATTCGTTTGGAGGGGAGTCCTTGAGAAACGAGAAACTATGTCCCTCAGGTGGTATTCTTCTATGCACGAGAGCTCATGAATGATGACTATACGGATTTGGCGAAGATCAAGGGTGCCTGTAAAAGACACTTCAGCGAACGTGCGGAGGCCAAGGAAGAATGTTTGCGCCTTATGAGTCTGAATGCCAGCCCGACCTTGGAGTCGCCAAAGTTGTTGCTTCTCACTTCCCTGAAGTTTCTGAAATACCCGGAGCTGGTAAATCGATGGGGTGCCACAGTCAAAGCCATGTTCATTGTGCGAGACCCTGCGGAGTACTTGTGGGCTGCGTTCAATTATTGGATTGTCGACATGGATGTGAGTCAAAAACCTCACAAGACGACCAACAGGAGCTATCGCAGTCCAGAACTGTTTCATGAGTTGCTCCTGGCGGAGGGTCGTCTCTCGTGGATGCTGGGCAAGGACGGCCGCACAGGAGAATGGTTCTTCTTGGTGCAAAACGGTACCATGCGAAAGAGCGTGAAGCACCTCTTGGTGTTACGTTCCGAAGATTTTCTGGATCCAGATCTGACCATGTTGGCCTTAGGGAAGGTGAGTTCGTTCACGACCTTGGAGCTTGCAGGTTTCAACAAATCTGTTCTGAGCAGTAGAACCAACTCGCAATATTCCGTTTCTACAAAGGGAGCCCAGAGCGCCATTGGGCAAGATGTGCCAGCTGGAGTGTATGAGATCTCTGGTTACCTCGGACTGCCAAATAAGTTTTTCTTGAAGCCCACCCTTATTTAAAAAAAAGTAGGCACCTACTTAATTAAGCATGGGCTGAACAAACTACCAGGTAACCTGCTACTAGCTAGGACGCAGGATGGCTCACCCTTCTTCAAGGAAGATCCCCCCCGCCTGAGGGCAGGGGGGTAGCTTCCTTGAAGAAGCGCTCATTCATTTGGTTCCCAGATTCAAACATCAGTCTTCTCATGTTTTTTCTCTTTTAGACATTGGAGCCTGCACCGCATATGGGGGCCATTTATCTGACCCTTCGGATTGGTCCTTCTCCACCCGGAAAGATGCGACGCGGTGAGTCATCCAGTGAATTGGCACTGTGGAGTTTCGTTTCTTTTTCATCTCCCCTCCGAATATGGAGTACCCAGCAAGTCCAAAGGACGGATTAAACCGGTGCGTTACTAAAGAACTGGTTAAACTGGTGCGTTGACCCATTGGAGTACCAAAACCGTTACCGCAGAGAGGGAGGCACCTGTTGCGTCGCACAAGTGAGGCTACCGTCCAATGCTTTGCAGGAGTCGCCGCTTGATCTATCAAAAGTTCCTAGCACTTTGCCAGATGTTGGCGGCACGAAACTCGCTAGTGCACGCCGTTCATAGGCTTTTGTTTTTTGTCTTTAATAAGAATATAACTATACATAACTATACTATATTATAATAGGCATGGCATGCCATATACAGGAGAACAGAGGGTGTGGATCCAAGTTCAACGGGGTGTTGCTTTCCCCAGGAGCTACTAGCAGCGTCCTTGCTCCTGGCCTCCAACCTAATAGCGATGGCCTCCACCTAGTAACTTCCGTAGTAATGCCAGGAGCTACTATAGTAGGAATTCTTAAGCTTGGAGGCTTGTTTGCTGGGACCTTAATCCCGTAACCGCTGGCCGAGTAAGGATACAACATCACTTACACCGCTTGCTTGTCAGCCAACTTCATGCCTTGCGATGATCACAAGTCCGCTGAAAGCGACTGCAATTCTTCGCATGATTTTTCGGGTGTGACAGCTCGACTCATCAGCGGGTACAACAGCACCTTGATGGTTCAGGTGCCAGCTCTCCTGACTCTCATCATGGTTTGCATTTTTGCTTGTTCTCTTCGATGCAAGCACGGTTCGGACGTCGGAGTCGTTTGACTCCCGCTCCGGAGCGACCGGAGGACCTGGGTTGTCTCACGAAACCGAGCGGCGCTGAGCTCCGAGCTGAGCAACAAAGTGGTGCATCCAAGTCTTCGAAGCCGAGGCCATCCATGAAAACGTTTCCCCTAGGGCTCCAGTCGTACCTCCGAAACGAAGGTACGACTGGAGCCCTAGGTTTCAGATAAAGCATGGACCTGGTGAAGAGGCCGACCTTGATCCTTTTGAGCTATGGTTATGGTCCTGGTCATGGACCATATAAAGATTCTCATCCTCTCCCCAGACACATCCCAACCACCGGCGAGCGAAGTGTTTGGGCGAGGAAGCGGGAGGGATCATCGAAGTGTTGGATATTATCCAACCACATGATTCTTTTGTGTTTGGGTGGACAAGTCTTGGGGCCAAGTCTTGTTGGGCGAAAAAATAAATACAGTAACATATAATGACCATGGACCATACCGTCCAAACCACATCTCTCCAGATCCGATGCCCACAACCACTCGGAAGCATGGCAAACCTTGCCAGGACCTTCAAATTGACCTCTTTGGAGTCTCTAAGTGACCTTGTACAGACCTAAGTGACCTCATCCTGGGATATCAAAGGGTTACTTTGAAGGTCCTGGTGAACATTCTATACATTTCTGCAATGTGACCTGGAAGGAGGGCCACCTGACCTGGGGGAGGGCCACTCCGATGCTCGGATTTCGAAGCCCGGTTCTTCCAAATCTCGATATCGCCGAGGTTGGAACCAGTGCTTCAGGGGGCCCTCAGTTTGAGGCACCGAACTGAAGCACAGCAGGGTGAGCCGTGGCGCCTGAACCGGAGGAGATGCGTCAGCGCATGTAGTTAGATTAAAAACTAGAAGGACGTACTCACCCGCAGGACCTAAATCCCTCAGGTATTTGGACCCTAGGGAGAGCCAGAGTTAATTTTTGTCTTGGGTTTCTTGGAAGCCCTTCTTCCCTACTAGACCATTCCTGGGCCCGGCTGCTTCGGCTGCTGGGAGGTGAATGTACATCCCTCCGAAACGACCGGGATTGGTGATGGTGGTTGACCTTGGGTCAATGTTGGCATAGTTGTACCAATCACACGACGGTGTGGTGAGTCCCATCCAGTGGAGGGACTCCTGGGCACCCCGAACGTCCAAGTTCGGCACCCCACGCTCTGTGACTCCTGGTAGGCAGGACTCCTCTCGGCTGTCGGGCACGGCATCGGGTGGTTCGGTTCGTTCCGAAGTTCGAAGTGCCCATCATTTCACGTGCGAACACCAGGGCCATAGGCGACTCCAACGAGACCCAGATGAGCATCCAAAGACCCATGGTTTCAGGACAAGTAGAGGGTCATCTTCAGAGTTGATGTGACTGACTTCGAGCAGATACATTTGGACATCATGTTAAACTACTTGTTTTTCCCTGTGGCGACGGTGGTGTCCTCGAAACTATGACCAACGGTTTGGATACGATACGAGCGTTTCCTCGACATCTAGGCGCGGGTGGTCTTTGACACGGGCAGCACCAATCTCTGGGTGCAATCGGTGCTTTGCAAGGCCGGAGAAGTTAGATTGGTCAAGGGTCGAAGTGGAGGCACCAGACCTGCTAGTAGCAAGTGCATCGCTACTGGGAACAGGGGCATTACTACTAGCAGCTATATATTAGGACCATTGTCGGCTTCTTTATTTGATGTTTCGGTCAGGATGGATGTGCCCTGTGGGAACTATATCTAAATCTAGGGGAACTATATCAGATTCTATCAAATTCTATTAATCTGTTGTGAGAACTATATCAAATTCTAACATTATTTTGTGAGAACTATATCAAATTCTTAAAAAAATTTGTGAGAACTATATCAAATTCTAGATTTTTTTTGTGAGAACTATATCATATTTTTTTACTTTTTTGTGGGAACTATATCAGATTCTATCATATTCTTATGGGGACTACATTAGCATTTGTCCACACAGCCAAGCACTCAGTAGGTCTATTATCAGAATGCTCCACAAGACCTAGTGAACTCTTCCAATACAATTTCGGATGACTCCTGCTAGGCAATGATAGTTCACTTGCTAATGCATTACTAATGCTCGCCAAAAACTACCACACACTTAGTCACACTCATATCATTAGTCAATGGTCCACAAAAAGTTTGCAGAAACACGCACAATGTCTGACAACTGGCCCCCATACACCGCAGCAACATCAAGATGAGCAGTTTCCTAGCCCCACTGCTACTACTAGCACTCTATTGCTACTCCTACTTGTGCTGCTACTATAAACTCTACTTCAACTTCTACCACTGCTACTACTATTGCTACGACTGCTACAACTGACCGCACCGCGAGGAACGGTGTGCGAGGCGAGCCAACCACATGGACCCAGTTGCCTCGTCAAGTTTCCATAATTGACATGCCGCGGTGTCCCAATCCGAAATGATGAGGATGATGATGATGATGATGATGATGATGATGCGGCTGCGCTAAAGTAGTGTTGTTCTTGGGGCCCTTCGCTGCAATCGAACATGTAACATATTTACAGCACTAATCACTAATCAGGCAACGCTAAATGCGTTAGCACGCGTTTGCTAATGGCAGCATGCAATCTAGATGTCGCTGAGCGACCACTAGCACGCAGCTATACACGCTATCCCTGCAGCGTCTAGCCTACCAACCTGATCAAGTCCCCCTTATCCAAACACTTCCAACAGGTCCCCCATGTTTGGACCTTTGCGGTTGAATATAAGCAGCAGGAAACTATATGCAAGCAACTTCTTAATGAACATTGGAGGTGGCGAGCAAAGGATATTGCCTATCAGCAGCCATCGGCTGATTAGCAGTTCCAATCCAATCTAGTCTAGCAATCATCTACTACTGATTGGTCAATCCTTTTTTGTGGGCCTTATGGGCTAAGGCCATGGGTTGAAACACACCACACCTACCTCAAAACTGCATATATTTCTTGCAGACCTTGCAACTTTCTGTGTTGAAGCGTCCGCTTGCTTTTCTATGCTAACACCGTCACGACCGGTCGCTCACTCCACACCGGGTCTGCTCGTTTTTCCCAATTGCAGGGAAAACCAGTCAGGGTACAGGGACTGCAAAGCCGTTGAGCACATTGGTGGTGGACAAACCACTGCGCAAATGCAGCGCAGGTGTTTTTGCTGACGGCTTAGGGTAGACCATTTTGACCTCAAAGCCCTTGCCCATGGCCTTGATAGACATTGGCAGTGAATCCCCCAGAATTCCACAATGGGATTCTACTGATGATGCTCGGGCTGCGCGAACAGTGGAAAGCCCAACTGGTGATTGGGAGATTCTTGATGATGCCCCCGCGTGCCGTGTCTGGAATCAGACTGGTTTGTACTCACTGTCACTGCCAGTCAGACCTAACCAGACAGTCAGACCAAACAGTCTACGATTCGTATTTTTGTGTGATTTTATCTTTTTGTTGTAGTCTGTGGTGTCAGACTTTGTTAATTGCATTGTTTTGGCAATGTTCCACTTTGATTGGAACTTTAACAGATCAATGATCATTGACTTTGTATTTTTCTCCTGCTGGTTGCTACCTACTTGCCAGTAGGGGTTTGATTTTGAGCTCGACTCAGGACCTTGAGTCTGAAGAAGCCAGGTTACATGGACTGGGCCCCGAACCTGATCAGCTTCCTCAAGGTCAACGACAACCAACTGCCAGATGATGCATATGACGTGATAAAGGGAAAGCCGAAACTTGGCCAGCCGAATGCAACGCGCGATTCTTTTTTTTTGGGGGGGGGTTCTGGATTTCAGCTTGTTGTTTGGACCCTACCCAGTCCCCTGCTTCCCAAAAGCACCTCTGACTGACCTCCAAATCAGGATCGTCCTGGTTGAGGACTGCGCTGGAGCTGCAACTGTGACGTATGCGCTGCACCTTGGCCTGTAGCCTATAGCCTATTGCGTCATTCATCCCCTTGTCCCAATTCTCAGTAGCCCAGACTTTTTTGGCGATGCGAGAACACCTAATGTGAGTGGCGGAATGTGGCATGTGGCCACTATATTTTTGGTAGAGCCAGGACCAGTAGCAAAGGTTGGGATTGACATGTTGCAGAGGTTGCATTGAGGAAGACAGAACACTTTGACGTGACAGACTTTACATGCGTGTGCATTGTGTACCGCGTATGTGTACTGCCAACAGGAACACTGAACCTGATTCCGAGATTCCAAAGAGTCTTTGGTCACCAGTCACACCTGCACAGCTGCAGGCAGGAATTGAACCGCCATTTGACGCAGCCTTTGCCCTTCACCACGCTTGCAGTGTCAGACCCGAGTCACTCAAAGCGCAAGTGGATGAGCTATCATTTTGGAGACACGAGACTCTTGACTCATCAATAGCCAGTAGCGATACTTGCGCGGGTTTTGATGGTGCGGCCTGAATATGAACTTTGGATGCGGTGTGACATGCAAACAGTTACAGTTACCGCACAACATGTTAGTCGTAACTGACATGGTTCCACGAATAACTGCTTTCAGTCATTTGTACCCTATTCAGAAGAATGAGTGAACCCTGTACGACTCATTTACTACTGTGCAAGAAATAGGGTTGTTGCGCACGCCACGAAAACGAGCTCAGCTAAGTCCAGCATGCCTTTTCCGACATGGACCACTGCCTGCAAAGCGGATGGTGTGACCAGTGTTTGAGCTCCTGTGACATTGTGGATGATCCGGAGGACTTTATTGCTTTGGGCCAGTGCAGGTTTTACCAGCGCTGCTGCTGCAAGTACTCTAGGTGCACTCCACACTAGTTAATGGAGGACGACTTTAAAATTACAAACCAGAACTAAGCAACTAAAGAAAGGCTAAAGGCTAAAGGTGAATGGAAGGATGACATTTGACATTTATGCTTTTGTCCCGAATCTTTTTCTGTTCACAAAGTGTAAAAGTGTTGGATGCTTCGGCTCTTTAGGTAGTTTGCTGTTTGCATCTTTGTGAGTGATGTGGGCATGATATGGGCCATAGCCAGTGCCATAGGTCATAGGCCATGGGCCATAGCCGTCTGGTGTTTAGTGTCAGAGTTATAGGAGATGACAGCAGTTCTGTGACAATGTTTGGCCATTGGCCACATACCGAAAACCTTTGCGATGATGTTCTGCCTCCGCACCAGGACATCTATGTCTGGGGACCTCCA